ACAATTTTTTCAAAGTTCCAAAAATCAGTCAAAACTCCAAAAATACGTCTTGAAAATCCCGCACTTCCCCTCCCCTTTAAATCGATGATTTCGGTGCTTCCACTTCCAGGTACAACTTATTGGAAACGAGCGTGAACTAAAAATCGCTCTGATCCAACTGGATATGGTTTTTCTACCCGGGCACTGACAAAATTGTGTGGAGCTTGAACTGTCATTCCCAGAAGCTAATTTGCCTCGGAGAAAAAAGAAGCTACACTACTGCTCTGCCCGATTTTGCTTCTTCAGTTCCTGTTACACAGCAAAATAGAGCCGCAAAGAGGGCGACTTGAGATTCACTTGATTTTCTTTGTCGAATTCTCCTGGTCATATTTTGCCTTGCTTTGATACCAGAGCACGAACGGTACCACGGTGGATGGTGAGACGAGCATCAAAAACACCAGCCATACGCCTACTTTTGCCGAGAACTTTCGATCATAGTCCTTCTGTCGATAAATATAACCTAAAAAATATTTGCACATGGTTCGTCAACCCTGGCTCAACACCTCACACATGTGTCCACTCACAAAAGCCATATTTATTCGCAGCAAAAATTCGTACAAGACACATTTGGTGATCCTTGTCATAATCATTTTTTATCGCACATATTTTCGGAATAATAGGAAAATATTTTAAAGTTGGAAGAAGACAAAAGCAAAAAATATTAAGAAATTAGTAGAAGTATTAAAATATTTTAATAAAAACATTATGAAAATATTGCAATACTTATATTATAGAGTTGTAAATTATAAATCAAGAAACGCGAAGCGGGAAAAAAACAAACTCTCGCCCGGGGCAGTCGTATAACCAATGCGCACTTCTTTCGCATCCTCAGTCGGATAGTAGGTTATTTGGGCAGCCGAGTAATTGAACAAACCAACAGACCGTGGGCGCACCACCACTGAATGTGAAACATTCGCTCCGGCATTTATTCTGTCCCAACGAACCTCAAATTACACTAACACCAGCATAAAACAAAATTCAGCAAACCTGAACTTTGAGCAAAAAAGCACGCAACTGAAACTAAAGGAGAGAAGCAGAGAAATCACTTGTAGGAGGCCTCGTATAATTTCGAAGTTCTGTGTCGGGAAGCCATCGCGATCATCCAGCGTCACACGCAGCGCCGCCTAAATCGTAATAAATTTTTTTACAAAAATCACCAGGAACCGATTTAAAAAAAAGAGCAAGAATTCCAATTAGACTTAAAAAAATTAAACGCCCAGTTTGCATGATATTCTCATAAAAAGCATTTCCAAGTTAACTCTCTCTTCTTTCACTCCCCTCTCACTCTGTTTGGTCTTCCTCTGTTTTCTTCTTTCGCTTGTCTTGCAAATTAGTTACATGGCTGTTCAGTAGATGGCGAGTAGGAGGCTGTACTGATGATTCCCACTCCTATGCGTAAGCATAATTCGGTCTGTGTTTACAGGCTAAGGAATAAAACACAGACAGACTGCATCGTAAAATGTCCTTTCACACATGACACCTAATTTCAATCCTTTTATTCTACTATTAAATAAAATTAGACCGAACAAAAATCTAAGTTAAATTGATTTTTATTAAAGTAATACTTAATGTGGCTAAATATCTAAGCAATCGGAACAGTGAGACAGATAAAGGGACAATAATGATGCGTTCGAATCTAACAGCTAAAGGAAAGAAGAAGTTATGAATTGGAGCCATTTTCTCGCTGAACTTCGAAGATTTTACGCCACCACAGGTACAACCAATCCCTTTATGACTAGCATTCACTGAAAGACGGCTCTCTCTCTCTCCCTCTGA